GCCATTTGCTGCTTTTGTGGGGGTTGATCATCATGGACATTCGACATTATTAGGCTGTGAGTTAATTTCCCATGAGGACACTGAGACATTTGTATGGCTATTTTGTTCTTGGCTTGAATGCATGGATGTTGCTCCTAATGGAATTATCACTAAACAAGATAAGGTCATGCAAAATGTAATTGAGATTGTTTTCCTTGGTACAAGACATAGGTGGTGTTTGTGGCATATAATGAAGAAAGTGCCTAAAAAGTTAAGAGGGTATAAGGAATATGAAACTATAAAGTTTAAGTTTAAGTTGCAAAATATTGTGTATGATTCCTTTACGCGTTCAATACGTGTTCTTCTTCTTTTACGCACATAGACTTGTCCTTCATTTACCCCTTCTGGAACACTAACACTTTCCTGAACCGTTGCTTCTCCCTCAATTTCATCCCTAATCACAAACCATTCTCCTATCATATTTTTTTTAATCAAACCTATTTTACACAATGTCACATCCCCCAACAAATTATTTGTGGAAAACTTAATCTTATTTGCTTCATCATTATGGGTGATCTAAATACTTAACTTCTCACATATTAAAATAACAAGCATCCCCCAATATATTTCTCCTTTTTTTGCTTGAACCTCTCTCAACTTCTTAATCAATAACGTCGCTGAATTTACTTGCCTCCCTGCTATTGTTACTTCCATGAACATTAAATCTTTAACCGTCACATTTCCATTTGTCTCTTTCTGACCATTAAATATGTAAGTCGGATATCTGTGAAATACTCTCATAGCAGGATTCTTTAACTTTGTAGATTTACACCTATGTGGATGGTAAATCCCTATCCCAGAAACATCCATCCAAGCTTGTTTGAAATCCCACGTTCTAGATACGTTATCCAAACCTTCAAAATCAAATCCTATCCAGGTTGCTAAATCTTGTGGTCTCACTACAAAGTTATAATTCTTTAATCTAAAAAACATTGTATACGCCAGAAACTCATCAGTATATGTCTCCACAACTTCCAAACTACTAAAAAACTCATAGATCAAATGCTTATATCCATCATATCTAATACTCACCAACCGGTCCCATTTCAAATTATGAATTCAACCATTCATTTCATCACCTAAACCCAAACTTGTTATAAGTACTAAATCCAAACTTCTTCTCAGGAAAATATCTCTTTTAGACACCTCCTCATATTGCTTTTTATGTCACAAGTCTTGAAATTGGATTCCAAATGATGATGTGCCTTCATGAGGAATGGTTGTATTTTTTGCTCTCACCATTTTCTGCTTTCTTCTAAAACCTGTATACATAAAAAATTTATCATCATAATCAGTCATAACTAAAGAAGTTTGAAAGATGCAAAAGTGTCAATAAGAACATGAATCTCGACAGAAACCTGTACATAATTATAGTTTGTCTGCATTCATCACTTTTTATATGATATTTAGAAGAAGTTAGTTATGACTCATCACTAAAAAAGCAGCCATTTTCCTCACTAACTCATCCTCAAATTCATAATATCTTCAAGAAAATTATCATTTCACTGCAAATCATCTATTTAATATTTTGTGTTCTACTGCTAGATCCAACCCTTCCTTTCTGGGTCCATCCTCTTTAATGAGATCAACATTATCACTTATAATCCCACTGCCACCAATACATGGCCAATTTATTAAAAATACCAAACAATTTGTTTAATAACTCACCAGCCTAACAAGCACTCAAACCAGATTTTAGTTGTCAAAAAACCATCCACGGGTCTGGGGCCAAAAGCAAATAGAGGGAAAATTATTTAAGTTGGGGAAGAGGACGATACTTCTACTCACCATAGGGGTCAGGAACCCTGCGCCCTTATACAAATGAAACTTGGTCCCCCTTCAAGTAAAGTCAAACCAACCCAAATGTTTCCATATAGCTCCCATGATTTAAAGATTAAATCATATCATATTTATGAAATCACCAAACCTCATATTGCAAACATAAAAAAAATCCTAATCTTGACACCTCTCTCCCTTCTTTTGGGTTTTTGGATAAACATAAACATGAAGTAGCTAGATGACATGTAAAGATACCATCATCAACACTACAAGTAGCATATGCATTTTTTACATCTTAACCTTGAAGTTTAAAATAAACTTATGGGTAGCTTGCCATCCTCTTTTCATCAACTCAGCTGCCACGGAAGACACCTTTGCTTGGACATAACCTTTTGGCGAACAAGCATGCTGCATAACAAAGCATAGGCAAAAACTGTAAACCAAATATATTATTTGTAGCATGACCAATAAACAAATTGAGTGAATAGCACATTAATCAAATTGAATAAATAAGAGACTTTCATGCGATACTTATACGATGTGAAGATCTTCTATTATACTATCAAAGGACAGTTAGAAGAAGTTTTTCTTGATACCCATCACTGCATTCCATAACCTCAACTCAACCGATTCTCCTATTAGCTTGACTTTTCATGTATAGAACCCATGTGTGATGTATTCAATTAAGATCTTCTATTATACTAGCTCGCAAAACTTTTTACAAGCGCAATGAATTTGTACAATCGTTTTTTGACGAAATTTACAAGATGCTATGACAACTAGAGTAACCCCTACCTATAGTAATCAATTAAAGTTACGTTTTGCACAATTTAAGTCATTCCAGCGGCACTAGTTAATAGGAAGACGTACAGGAAGACTCAATTGGTTCAATCAGGACGAAAGCATCAAACACTTATACATTATAAACTACTTCAGGTTTCAATTATTTGTTTAGTGCAATTCATTCAAAATTTTGCATAAAAAAATACAAACTCAAAAATGGCAAATGGCTTCAACGACAATATTAATGCATTCATCAATTGCTTTCCATAATGGAATTGTCGTAACCAATACTTCATACCTTAGCCACTGAACCTCAATCATCAATTAAACCCAATAAAACATGATGAACACAAACCAAATTAACTGAAACATTTACTCGAAAAATGGCAAATGGCTTCGACGACTTGGAGCGGCAGATGAGGAACCAGGATAAAGAAGTGAACGTTGTAAAACAAGCTCAATCATCAATCAAAACCAATAAAAAAATGTGATTAAGAGAAACTAAATAGACTAAAACACTTACAATAATAATGGCAAATAAGAAACTTGAAGAAGAATAACAGTAAATGAGGAACTTCGACGAAGAAGAAAAGCGGCAGATGAGAACTTCGAAGAAGAAGAAGAGCGCAGATGAGGAATGAAGACTAAGAAGAAGAGCGCAGATGGGGAATGAAGATGAAGAAGAAGAGCCGCTTGTTGTTTTTTAAAATTGCCCCAAATTGATTTGACCTAAATTCCAATTAAAGTACTCATTGGACGGGTGTCCATTATATGTGGGCGCCCATCCATTATTTAGGGTTTTAGGGACGCCCGTCCACTGAATAATGGACAGGCGTCCATAATTTTTTTTTAATTTACAGTATGGACAGGCGTCCATTATACGTGGACACATGTCCATTATTCAGGGACGACCGTCCATAACTGATGAACGAGCGTTCTTGTATTTTGTATACAATTTTATTTTATTTAAAGTATGGACCCGCGTCCATTATATGTGGACACTCGTCCATTACTTAGGGACGGCCGTCTATAATATATGAACGCTCGTTCATTATTTTTGTTTAGAAACTTTTTTTAATTTAAAGTTTCAATGGATGTCCATTAAATGTGGACCCCCGTCCATAGTAAATGGACTCCTACCCATATAATATGGACGAGAGTCTATCGTTCATTTCGCATGGACGGGTGTCCACATATAATGGACTCCCATCTAATAACAGTCAATGGTCGTTCACTCGCAAAATATTTGTTAATGAGATACATGGCTAGTCTGAGTCATGTAATTCGGTGTAAGAATTTGATACATAGTTTCGATGTTCATAGTATTATTGAATAAATTTTACACTTCTCCGTTAGTTTTTGTCTTTCTAATATAATATAGCACACATGAATCCAATTAAAATCAACCTTAACTAGCAAGATAATTTTTATTTGGATTATTTAAAAAAGTGCTCAATTTTTTAATTTGAATAATATAATACATAATTTAGGATAAATAAATCTGGCGATTTAAACCATTAGTTTGCCCTTTAGGAAAAAGTACCAAGTGATAAATTTTGCTCTGGCACCATTTTTAATGACGATTCTCTTGTGAATTCTTATTCGATTGTTGCACAGGTACGACCTGACCCAAGATACAGCGGCAACCAGTAGAAACTTAAATCCGTCACACTTTATCAAGGACACAAAATCATTCATATAGAGATGAAATAATGACATCCAATCAATTCATGGTCTAGGATGTGCACAAATTATTCCCCAGGTAAGTTTGTCATTTTTCATGTGCTTCTTTCTCTCTCCCTATATGTATATTCACATGGAGATTTCCTCTCATACTTTTGCATTCTGGTTTCAATCCCCAATTATAGAGAAAATTACACTCACAAGCAATCTCTTTATTGTTTTTCTCTAGAATTGGCATAAAATTTGTGGTATTCAATATGAGGACCCGATCAGGAGTACCTGAGCTAAAATTTCAGGAATGAAAAAAATCATATTTGATATCTAGTGTTTTGCTCCATTATTAGAAAGAATGTAGAGAGTACAAGTGATTATTCAATACAGATTGATGGATAAAAATTCCCGACGCAAGCTAACCAACCACATTTTTCCGATTAAAACAGTAATATGGAACCCAGTAGTTAGCATGTTAGGCCTCTGTTCACTTGACTGAAAGTTTTTAGGCCTTCAGTGCCAGGAGTGCTCAGGAGGACGACAGTAAAATATTAATCATCTTCATATACATTACATATAACCAAAAAGGAAGGACTTTCTCTTCAAAATGCGGGCAAATATTCCACCAAAATGCATAAATGTTTCTGACCTTCTGAACTTTCCCAGCATCAAAACAGTAACACAAAGATGGTGCAACCAAACTAGTACCCGTAATGCTTCTGCTATATAAAGGGATAAGGCACAGAGAACTTTATTAACAAATTTATGACGTTTCACTGCTAAATTAAGTTTAGAAACTAATTACAAAGAAAAAATTGATGACCTCAAGTTGTATTAGCATCCTTATATCCACTGCAAACTTCCCCAACCTCCATCTCATCATCATCTGAAAGTAAAGCATCTTCTAAATCTCCCATGGTCTCCTCTTGCTCAAACTGCGTACTTATGCTGCCATTCTCAGAATCACTCCCAAACAAATCCTCATCCTCCATGTCAGATTGGTCACTAAAAGTTTCAATCTTCTTCTTCCTTCCTCTGTAACCTATAAGGCTTTGGACTTTTTCCTTCCAAAGAACTAATGGGCCCTTCTCAATCAACTCTGAACCTTCATAAGCTTCTGTCAAGAACACACTAAATCTCTTTCCCCTTTCCGACACATAAAAAATTCCAAAATGCTTCAGTAGAAGTCTCATTAACTTCTGTGGCATAACAAGTTCCCTTCGAAAATGAGTGAGGTGATCCGTCACCAACTTCTTCTCGATGGTAAAGCTAAGCAGCTCATGCATTACCGCAACTGCCCTCTTATCAAATTCCAACGACCCAGCTTTGAGCTCTCTGGCATCTGCATATGGAGACAAATAAGCCCTTTTCTGAAAATGCTCAATCTTACCTCCATATCTATAAACTTTCTTGTACTCGGGAGGAAACTTCAAAGGAAACGGCAAAGAAAGCATTCCCGGTGTATGATCACCACCACCCTCACTTAGCCCCAACACCTTCTTCTCCAACTCCGTGATAGCCCATTTAGGATTCCAATTTGCGAGTTCCAAATACTCAACTTCAGGTTCAGTCTTAGACTTAATCACTTTAAAAAGTTGAGGGTACCTATGAACCCATTCAGCTCTAAAATCAAGTGACAAGCCAAAGTCTCTTCTAAAATGTGCAATCTTGTCCAACGGCAAACGTTTATCAACTGACATCATTAGAAACCTTGTGACATTCTCTGCAGCTTTGTCTGAGTGTTCATCAAGTAACCTCTCTTCTTCTTCAAGCAAGTCTTCAGCTACTTTAGTCATTCCACACCATAACACCCCATTTTGATCCTTATACACTTCAAAGAGCTTTGGTGTCTTTCTAATAAAATCTGATATTTTATGAGGTTTAGGCAGATTAATTTGCCTCCTATATTCATTTAACGATCTAACGGGTATTACCATTTCAGGTTCTTGCTTTAAAATATCCATTAAAATCTTCACTTTGGTGAATATTTTCCACTTCTCGGTGGCGATCTCAAGCCCACGGACTCTCTTATTCTTGCTTCGATCTTGGACACGCTTACTGCTGGTCATTAATCTACTCTGTGACCACAAAAATGAACATTGTTTGTACCAAACTCTTCTCAGAGACAAATAATCAAACATGTTGAGCTTATTGATTAAATTTGCAGTTTTAACTCGTGGGGATATCCTTGATGACAAGCCAAAGAGTAAAAGAGAGTGAGAATGCAAAGGTTAAATGACATAAAGATAGAAATGTGGGAGATTCATGTAGATGTGAATGAAAATTTTCAGAGTGTCGATTATGGGAAGTGTTTGTTGAAAAGACGGTATGAATTGAGAGGTAAGTGCCAACTGGTATTAAGAGGGACACAACAATGAAACGCGCAAGAAGATTTGTCTAATGGAAGGTTAGAATGGGCTTAAACAGGCCCAAGATTAGTTCTTAAATGATAAACCTATATTATTGAAGTTTATTACATTTTATCGTTTAAGAAACAATACCAATCACTATTTTTCTTTTAATTTTGTATAAGAAAAGATTATAAAATTGGTAATAAGTTTAATCTTGATAAATAAATTTTGAAACAAATAATAACAATAATAATCTTAATAAATAAATGAACAACTAACTCCAATGAGAGGGAAAGGATGTTTCTTTTCATAAATCATAATCTGGAGGTCCTAGGTTTGAGAGCTTAATTTATGTTTATAGACTCTTTTTGGGTATCTGGTATCTTTATAAAGAATAAAGAATACAACCTAAACAGGACGAACCCGAAACTACACGACCCTAAACAGAAAGGGGCGATGCCAAAACAAAAAAACAAAGAAGTTAGGATATACACCCTTTACACACTCAATCCACACCCCCTGGACAACAAAAAACGGTTGTTAATTTTGTGTATTTTTTGTCAGATTGTATAACTCAATTATAAGTAAAATATTATTGAATTTTTTTAAGGCATTCAGAAATATAAGGAGAAAACTCTTTGATATTAGCTATTTATATAATAAAATTAAAATTTCAGCTTATGGGTGAAAAAAAAAATATGGTTAAAAATAAAATGAAATGCCCACGGTTTAGTCTCTATCAACCTGCATATTGACATGTTTTAATTTAACCTTGAGAATTAGATACAGTTATCAGCTACACTTTTCTTTTATGTTGGGCAGAGAGACATGGAGATTACGAGTCTAATTTGTTAGCGCGTTTCAGCCACCCCTTTTTAAACTATAGTCAAATTCATTATCAAATCAATGAGTATCTACTGTCTATACTCATCAAACTGTTGTTTTCAGTCAACTATTATCATATAATTACTTTGGTCCTCTTTTTTCTAGAACATTTTTGCTTTTACTGTTTTTTCCACCCTTTTGGATCAATAAATCCTCTAAACCCCCCCGAGGTATACTCAACATCACTAAACACCCTCCAGTATCAGTAATAGCTCTCAACCCCCTGTTGTTTGTGGAACGTTAGTACTTTCCCATTAGTTTTAACAGACCAGGGATAGAAAAGTAATTGTCTTATAAGTTTACATGAGAAATATTTTATTACCCATGGCCATAGGCACTTTCTATTGCATTCAAACTATTTTATATAAATTATCTCTATATAGTTTGGCGATTCGTTTGTAACTCTTAGGTGTATTACTTAAAGGTCTTAAATTCGAATCCTCAAAACTACTAATAAAGGGTAGCCACTAAAGGTTTACTTGACCGTTAATTTTAAGACTCCAGTAGACTAGTTGAGATGTATATAAGCTGACTCAGATATCCTGAAAAAAAAAAAAACTATTTTATATAAAATTGTGGGTGTGTGTTTGTGTTTTAGATTAGAATATGATAGAAGAGATAGATAAATTTTGTGCGTGGAAGGGAGGATATGGACTCCGAAGACAATAATGGTCGTTAGGGGACCAGAAGAAATAAGGGCTTCACAGTAAAGGTCATGGAGAAGGTGGGAATAGGGGGCTGTGGATGGGTTTTACTATAGGGGTGGGGCCGTGGGGGTTGTTTTGCGGTGATGGGTGGAGGAAGAGAAAGGGGTGGATCACTTTGTATTTTTTTTTTTTTTTTCAATTTTAAGAAATTAAATGGTTTTCTAAGAAGACTAAGGGTATGAAGGGGTTTTCACATGAAGAAATTAGGGTAGAATGGATAATTAATTGTTCTGCAAAGTTCAAGGAGAAAGCCAGTAATTCTGACAAACGGCATGGGGTTGAGGTGCTAATGCTGATACCAGAGGGGGTTTATAATTCTTAGTATACTTAAGGGGTTTTATAAATTTTCTCTTTAAGTTTAAATGATATGATATCTTATCTTATAATTTTTAATTAATATGTATACAATAGTTTTCCATCACGATATTCTCCATTTATCTATGGATTAAAAGAGTTTATTTCAAATTATAAGTATTTTAGAATTATTTTATGTTGTTTAATTCCATTTTTAAAATGTTTATAGAATTATAAATTTGGGTTTTTACCATAAACTCTTTTTGAGCTTATTTAAAATATTGAAATTTCAAAAATATCCCTATATATCTTATAAATTTGATATAATTTATTCTTGTAAATTAATACCATAAAGCTTTTTTACATTTTTTTTAACCAAATAACTAACAAAGTTTTCACAAATGCTTTACTCTTGTAATGAATAAGTCATACCAAACAGACTTTATATAAACTCTTTTTTGTTTTTTTTTTTTTCTTTAAATAAAAAAAAGAAGAGTATAATCTAGAAAAGATGGATAGTCTTGATTAAAAGGATGGTTTTAGAATATTTAATTCAACCGCACGGGCTCGTTGACATTATATTTTACAATTCTATTTTAAAGCCGTCAACCTTAACCTTATTAGAAAATAGTCCCCATAATGTCAATTATATTCAAATACTATTGCCAGTCAAACCTTTACTTTTGTTGTATTTTAATCCCCAATTGAATATATGCATGTCAATTTATGGACCCAATAATGTTTTTAAATGTAAAATCAAACTTAAGAAATTTGTTATTATTCTACTTTTGAAACCAAATTGATTTAATCAATCAATTGTAAATTAATTTTATTGATTTGATTTGGTTATTATAATGGTTGTGATGTATCAATTTATTGGGTATTAATACTAAGGAAAATAATGAAATAAACTAGAATTTATAAAATGAATTATAAAAATAATTAAAAAGCAAAAAAATCAACTCAACAGTGATGAAAAATAAGTATTGATAAAAAAAAAAATTAAAAAAATTGCTTTAAGAGAGAATAAAAATATGTGTCTAATGGATTTTTTTTTTCTTGAAAAAATGGGTTGATACAATAATCCCCCTTTAGTATAATAAAAAATTAAAAATCTGCCGATGGTTAAAGAAATAATAAAAATCCTCTATCATTAGTTTTTTATGTTAAAATAAATGATAGAAGATAGATTAAGTAATATTTAATCACCTATGGGATAATCTTTTATTACTTCAGTAATGCCACCTTATATTATTGACATTATCATGTTTAGTTGTGAGTAATAAAAAATTTTAGTAATCCTCCAATACTAATAGTAATTACTGCAGGTTATATAGGTAATAATTTGAATACCACAATTTTTTTAGGTATTCTAAAATTACTTGATACTCTTATTTTTATTACAATTTTATCTCTAATTAATAAATTTTTTTAACAATAATGTTTTTATTGTGAAAATAATTTACAAGAATATTCATGAATTATTTTATGCTTATAAATAAGATTTTTAAGATATTAGTACCCTTGTACTTCCACCAAATTATCCAAGACCACCGTCGGATTTGGCCACCATCATCGACCATCGGCCACCACCGTCAACCGTCATTGCCAGAACAGCACACGACCAATTGTATCTGGTCAGTAGTGTGTCAATCTGGCGAAATCAGGCCATAACCATGACTATTTTCGGCTAAATCTATGGATTTAACTGAAAAGAAACGATTAGATTGACATACACCCGACCATATCCAATTGATCGTGTACAATTATGTTATGGGGTGTATTAACTTAGTTCTCAAATGTAGGGATTAAAAAAATAATCAAAATAATAATAATTGTTGAACCAAAACCCCTGCAAATTAAGTAACAACATTGAGATATTTATTATTTCTGAAATTACGGGAGATATTTGTTATCGGACAGAGTGGAAGGAACGCACCTAGGTGGAGAGTGGTATTCACGTAAGAAGAAAGGCTCCACTGAACTAGGGGCCTGGAGCGGTAGAGCGTGAGCCGTGGCGCTCCCTCTCCAGAGACCTGAAAGGCTGAAACCCGAAGACACGAGTAAAACAATAAAAATATAAACACGACAAACACTCCACGTGCTTTGAAATTGGTCCTACCGCGTTCTCAAACCGTCATAATCACTTTTAACTGCCACGTGTCCGCTTATCCGCGCTCTTTCTGTCTTTCCTCTGACTTCACAAATCAACACGCTTAGACTTCAACTTCTTCCTCACTATATATTCTTCACCATCGCAGCCGCCATTGTTATTATCAGTCTGATCCAATTCAAACATTTTCATGCTGTTTCCTTAACCTTAACCAAAACTAAACAGACTTCTATGGTGAAGACCGCTACTAACTCCATAACTGAACCTTCATCATCAAGTAATCATCATGAACCAAAGTATAAGGGTGTTCGTAAGCGAAAATGGGGGAAATGGGTGTCCGAGATTCGGCTTCCGAACAGCAGAGAACGTATTTGGTTAGGTTCGTACGAGTCGCCAGAGAAGGCGGCGCGTGCATTTGACGCAGCTTTGTTCTGTTTACGAGGTCCCAGTGCTAAACTCAACTTCCCCAATAACCCACCGGAGATTAACATAACTGGACCCGGAGGACGAGCGCTTCAACCACAAGAGATTCAAGTGATTGCTGCAAGATACGCCAACGAAGAGCAAGAGCCGCAGAGAAATTCATTGGATTATAATAATGTGTCATCATCGGCTGCGACTTCGCATTACACGTCGTCATCATCATATGGGGTGGCGATGCCGGTGGACGTGGACAGTAGTAATCATACTACAATGGATTGGTCGTTTTTGAGTATGTTAGATAGCAATGAGCGAGCAGTTGCATCTGATTTTGGTCTTTATTCTGGGCTTGACATAAGCATGAATATGAACATGAATGGAGATGAACAATATCCTCCACCTCCGGAAACACCAACAGCGATGATCAATGAGAACGAGGAAGATCATGAGAACGTGTATTCTCAGTCTTCATTTCTGTGGAACTTCTAAGTTATGGAGATTACTATTATTTATTTATTATTATTATAATTTGTATAGTTAAGTTTAACAGGTCATCAGGAGAGTTCGGCTAATTTTTGCTGCTGATATCACTGATTTTTCATCTCAATTGTAAGATATTGGGTGGAAATTATAGGGGCGTCTCAGTTATAAGATATTGGATGGAAATTTTAGGGGGAAAATATGGCCCAGTTTTTTTGTACTTTGTTGTATTAAATCTGGGAAAGATGTAGAATTAATAAATGGCTTGTTATTAATTTAATATAAAAAATTTGGAATATGAAGTCCATGTCATCTGCCATGTGTGCAAAAAGGTCTGTGGTGTCCTTTTATAGGAAGAGCATTCAAGAACGAAATTTCAATGTCTACTATAATACGTACGATACGAAATCATCTCACTCTTGTACTTTTGGAGCTAAGAACTGACTGTCTCACCCAAAATTATATTATTTATATATGTATTTTCATTAATGATTAACTTAGATCATGCAATAAATACCTTGTTTACATGCCATTACCTTTGTATTATTTACTAATTAGTTAAAGATTTTTTCCCACCCAAATAATGGTTTAATGACACTTTCTCACCCAGACTTTTAAAATACTATTTTATTATCTAAATTTATATTCCAACAACGAACACAGATTAAACTCAATACAAATTATTAGTACTTTTAAAGAGAGAAGACTGATGAGTCTTTTGGTAGTGGAAGGTTAAATTTTAATGGTTGAGATTGATTAGAATTCGATTTGAGAAGAGCCACTACGCAAACCATAATCAATCGATTGCCGACGATTGACGTGATTAACGAGAGTATGGTTTAAAAGGTTTTGCTGAGTAATGATTGAAAAAGAGAAACAGAATAAAAATTTGGATAATAAAGTAATATTTTAAAAGTCTGTAGATGAAAGAATGTTAGTAAACCATTATTTGGGTGAAAAAAAATCATTTACTCTTTACTATAATAGCTTAATAATATATATATTTTTATAATAAAGCCAGCCATGGCCATGAACATGAACCTAGAAGACTGAAATTAAGCCTAGATCATATAATTTCAATTAAGGAAACATCCATGGACAAGCCCTACGTCAATTATCAACACTAGTGTATTTGATTCCCATTTCAGAGTCAACTATGAGAAACCCATTTACTCGAGGTTTTTCTATAATATTACCAACACCACTCATTGTCTTGTCCACCTTACTTTCTTGTTATCTTCCTCTTCTTTATATTTTAATTGTATTACAGACAGCCAAAGAAATATTGTGATTATAGAATCAAAATTCGAATCAAATTATATAATATGTGTTAACTTGCGCAGTCATATTTTACATGGAAAACAGTCAAACAATGTCAAACCGCGGAGGCCCCTTGCCCCTTTGGCACTTATTGACTTATGAGAGCATCTAGAAACACAAAAGTAATTAACAAAAAGGTCACTCACCTTGTGTCCCCATCATAAACTCTTTGTTTATGCAGTCACCTGTGACATCATATCCAATCATGTGTCATTAAAATATTATATGAGAATTGACCATACTTTTTTTATAAGACTCAATAGCGTTATTCAATATATAGAAGTTGAATTTTATTTTTCAGTAAATTTAAAATTACTCAATACATCTTATTGGAGCCACATTTTCAAAATATAGCATTACCAATATTTCTTAGACATTGCAGGTCTGGGTATCTCTTATACAAACATCAGTTATAATATCATGTTCCACAAAATATACATGCATTTCATTTCCATGTTACCTTGTGGTATATTTCATTATCCAATTGGGCAAGACATACCAAACTAATCTAAGGGCATTGCAGACCTGCACTGGAGATTCACCCATCTCGTTCTTGATAGCACTTCAAAGGCAGGTTCAGATGAAAATACAATAAGGGATTGTATCTGCTGCTAGCAGTGAACGGTTCAAGATGAAAGAAGGGAAACCATGGCATTTGTAGAATCTGGTCCGTCATTATTGACACTTGGTATTATGTTTTCCGGAGATACAAGCTTCACAAATTCTCTGAGCTCTGTAAAGCTGCAATGCTCACTATATGGCACTTCGTATCTGGACAACAGAGGAGCAAAATCTCTTATTAGTCATACAATTAGGATTGTTATATACAATATACTGAAAAAAAAAAATTGTTTTTGCAAACATCAAGTCAAACATGTATATCCACCATGAACAGATTAAACTTGCGGAAGTACAGGTATAAGGAATGCCATGCAATTTTTTAAGAGTTTAACCTGCCAAATTAGTATTGAAGAAAAATTATTGTTGTAGCCAACTAGAGTTTGACAAAGGTTTTTATCAAGAAAGAGTAAACTATTTATATAACTGGAACCAACACTAATCAACAGGACTTCAAAACCTTGGAGGATTGGAAGTGAAATTACAAGCAGCACTGGAGACAGTAAATTAAGCTGTTAATTGTTTATATCCCTAAAGGGCTGAAAATATATTGCCAGAAAACACTAGGCAACTAAATAACATCTTCCATTAGTAAGTAGCATAATGACAAAAAGACCTTTTCCTTAACATATCAATTGTGAATAAGGTAAACTTCAAAGCTGATCACTTAGCATAACTGTTGAGCTTTCAGAGTGTTGAACTCTCAAAATGCAAAACCATCTCATTTTACAAATAATAAAATTGCTTTGCATAATTTCAAATTTGGTGCTACATTAATAGATTTGATGTGGTTTATTTGATACTTGGTGACTAATATTGCAATCTAATCAGTCCAGGTAGGATTTTATTGAGGTTGCCATTTCAGTAAACAGTTTTACTTTGGAGCAAATCATTATAAGCTCCATTTATCCCATAGCTGGTTGCATATCACAAGGGATAAGGCAAAAGTTGGGGAATATATAGGAATTACATTTTTCTTAAAGAATACAAGACAAACCTTATAATTGTGCCCTGCTGCCATCTTCTCCCTGTAGACTTCTTCTTCCCTTTACTAAATGTCCAGCCAGTAGGAGAGAAAGCAACTATAAGACTATACCGGCTCTGACAACAAGCATACAAATAAACATGAATAATCATTCCAATATTTAATGATTTCAGATATTGAAACAAAGAATGAAGTCTGTTTCACTAAAGTTAGTGTGATAAGACCATGCTATGGCTGGTTACCCACATGCTAGCCCAAATTCTTATAGGACATAATTCATATTACATAATTCAATAGATTATCCATTGTTAAAATCAATTATTGACAATAAAAATGCATATAAAATCATCTAAGAGAGCCTTAAGACTAAAAAATTCTTCAAACGATAGTTCACTTTCTATACAAGAATATAAAAAAGGGAAGAGAAACTAAAATTTTAACTACATATACATAAAATCAAGCACAGCTGAGACTTAAATGCAAACTCCAGATTTAGGAACAATACTCCGGTTAACAGCAATGCAATCACATTCACCTTACAAATCTGAGATGCCATCGGCATTGATAAAATTTATTAAAGGGAAATAATAATTCAGTCTTTCCTGGATACATCACAAATTCACTAAATGAGAGAGAATTAAAATGCCTATCATCCTTCAATAATCAATATGGACTTCATAACACATTTTTGTTTTGTTCTATGCTTCTATTCCCTTTATTTTTACCATTTCAACGACATAAACAATGTGACATGTATTATTTTCTAAATATTTCCAGACAAGCACCGATGGTCTAGTTCCTCGTAAGCTAATAGAGTTGAAAGAGCACCTTAACAAGAAGAGCATACTAGTGGACATCTGTTTTCTTCATTCACTTAGATTGGGAAGGAGTTTTGGTATAATGGCATACTAGTGGCATTGGTGTACACATGTTGAGGTTTCATAGTTTTTTTAAGTCGGCCGTTTTAGACTGTTTATGGTTTTGTGATCTTTTAAATGGATCTTTAACTTTTGTGGGCATCTTGTTCACTCTTTTGTACTTATTTCAGACTCAGTCAATAATATTTATATATTTCTTATCAAAAAAAAAAAAAAAAAAAAAGAGCATAAAATAATATGCCTGAGTGCTCTACCCCTAAAACTGAAAAACAGCTTAGGTGTCCTTGGCCCTACCACATATCGGCACTCACTAAGCAAGAATCTGGAAGCACTTACTTATTCAATGCTTCTAATTTATCCTCTTTATCGTTCTTTTTATTTTCTGTACCTAAATAAATAACTAAATTCTTTCACAAACACAGATCACAGCTTCACATTTTTTATTGAAAAGCATGCCTCTCACCTTATATTGATTGGATATATGTTTAAGTCGTTTGATGCTTGCAAGTGTCCACATAGGCACAACATGAATGTGGCTTTCCTGTTCATTCATAGTAAACCATTGCATATCTTCCTCGGAAAACTCCAAACATTTTAAAAGACGGTGCTTTGCAGCATTGACATAAACCTTTCTGTGGAGGACACGAGCAACCTCCAAGAACAGCCTTTCCTTGCCTATGATAATTAAAGAAATTATAGCATACAACAGTGAAAGACAGAATCAAAGAGAGATAGAGAGATTATGGCCTGTACCAATTGTGTAGCTTCCAATTAGAAAAAGAGTTTTAGGGTTGAAAGCTTCTGCTTGGATGGCCTCAATAACAAACTGTATTACAGACTCCTGCTTTGGAAAGTCATACTGCAAGAAATAATCACATGAGAATGAATTCAATTTTATTTTAATTTTATATACAAATACCAAGAAAGTGCTAAAGTATGTAATCACTTTCATGTTTCAGGTTTTAAATGATACAAGTAAAATTTAAATGCAAAGATTATATATTCTAAAGAAATAAAACAATCTAAACTTACTAAAAACCAGTGGATTTTATATAGTAGACATTGTAGCAGAGTTAGGTAATAGTAATGTAAGCACATGCTGTGTATATAATAACAAGAAATAATTAAACATTCACAAACATATATCCCACAAGAAACTTCTCAATGCAAATTATGTGCTATTTATGAATATAAGTTAATTGCACACTAGCCAATTTGTTTTACTATCCATGAGGCAAACTTAGACCCCAAGCTGGTCATATCTCCAGAGACTAACCTCAGCAGATCTCAAGCAGACCCAGAGTAAATAAATTCTGCATCATTTACTTTAAATTTTCAATAAACTTGGAGTATTAAGCATATGCATTAGATTTTGATAAGGGATTAGTGATACTTGGGATACTTGGTTTAAGCTCAGCTATGTAAGGTCACTACCATTCTTGTTTTGTCAACTTAAAGCAAATCAAACTCAGAAAATTTCAGCTCAACTCAGCATATCGACAACATAATCGTTGAAATTATTGCATACAGACTTACCTGGGGATTACAGTAAGTGGTATCAAGGATGAGAGTATGAATAGGACATGCTTGCAAAACAGATGCGCTCGCCATTTGCTCACTAAAACGAAAATCGCCAGTGTGTAGAACAGCCTGAAGTTATAGTAACTTT